CTGATGCCAGGGGCTTAAGTGGAGAGCAAATGTTTTGAGAATGATGAGGGCAATGAATGTACAAATATGCTTTACACAATTGATGTATGTATGGATTGTGATAAGAGTTGTATGAGCCCCTAATAAAACGGTTTTAAAAAAAAGTTGTAAGGACCCCTAATAAAACGATAAAAAAGTGAAGAAAAAAAGAAAGTGAGTTTCAGGGAGGGAAGAGGGAAGGGAAAAAATAAGCTGATGCCAGGGGCTTAAGTGGAGAACAAATGTTTGGAGAATGATGAGGGCAGTGAATGTACAAATATGCGTTACACAATTGATGTATGTATGGATTGTGATAGAGTTGTATGAGCCCCTAATGAAATGATTTAAAACAAAAAAAGAAAGTAGGAGTTTTAGGATTTGCTTTTAAATTTTTTAATTTGGAAAGGAGATAACAACCATAACTGGAAGTAAACATATATAATTTTAAATTAGGTATAGAGGAGAAGCCAGTGCAAAGGGAGTAATTAGGGAAATGAGGAAGAACCATAGAAATTTATTGGGGATAATCATGGGCTTAGACAAAGGGGACTGGGGTACATTAGAAATGAAAAAAGTACCTTTTACTTAGAAAGTAAAGGAATTGTAGCTATGAGATGATAGTGATGGTTTCTCTTAGGTATCAAGTCATCTCAAGATTAAAGTATGGAATTCCACCCAAAAAAGGAGTGGATTTAGAGTCCTGAGGAAGGAAAGTAGTGGAAGTTCAGAACAGCATGTGTCTGTTAAGTTAAGGAACCAATCAAATGTGGATATAATTGTGAGATGTGAAAATATCTCATTGATTAAAGTGTAGCATAGTTTACCTTAATTTTACTGTGAAACTCCGTATTGTGTAGAAGTTAATTCATAAAATTCTGTGGGCTTCTTTCTTGTCCTTTTTCATTTAAGTACTTTGTCCTCAGGAGGGCGCAAATACAGGCATCAAAAGCCCTAGAACATACACACAAGCCCCAGGAAAAGTTGAAGATTTAGTTTCACTTTGGTATATAGCACAGTTTTTAATTATTTCATACTTTATCCAAATTGTTTACCCTTTTATTGGGTTAAGTCATTTTAAAGTTTTAAAGGGTTTTGTTACTGAAATTTTAAGTATTTTGTACTTTAAAAATGAAATATTTCTCACTTAAGACAATTTCTGTTTCAGTTTCCAGTAGGCCGTATTCACCGACACTTGAAGACTCGTACCACAAGCCACGGGAGGGTTGGTGCCACTGCCGCAGTGTATAGTGCTGCGATTTTGGAATATCTCACAGCTGAGGTTTGTGGAGGAAAACGTTTACTACATATTTGATAGCAGATTTGCTTTAATAGTGTTTTCAGGTCCATCTTTTTGATGTCTTACCAACACCAGTGTCAAAAAGAAACAGTGCCCAAAGTTAAAGCAAGGGTCAAAATTCAGGGTTTTATGTGACCTGATGGCGTGTAAAAGGATTTAAATATTGTGCTAATTGAACTCTGTGGTATTCATAAAATCAATCTCAGTATTTGTGGAGTTGACATATAACCTAATACTTATAAAGGCTTGGGGTGGGGTAAAGGTTTGCCAGTGTGGTTTAAAAATCATAAATATAAAAGTTAAAAAGATTCAATCCTTTTCTTTCTCTGTGGTTGTATGTATGAAATGTCCTCTCGTGCTCAATTTTACGTTAGAATGTTAAATTAACTGAACAGTAGTTCTTAATTCTTGGATTCTGGACTACCACTTTTCCCTTTCCGTCCTTTCCTAAGGACAGTGAGTAGAAAACCATCAAACTCCATTCCAGGCTAGGGAAATAATTTCTGTTTCAAGCAAGTCAGGTGGTAGAAATAGCTAACCTGGAGAGAGGAAGGAAATGATTAGGGAAAGATAGTCTGCACGTTTCTCTGCAGAATTTCGGGGTTTTTGTATATTGTTATCCTTACCATTATTTTATTAAAGACACCAAATTATTTGTGTTCTGTTGGCTATATAGCATTGAATTACAGGTACAAAAGATGAGGCTCTCTTTTCCTGTAAAGAGACTTGGCTCTGCAATAGAATAATAGTGAGGCCTCTAAAGTGAACAAGAGATGTATATAAATCACAGCTAGATGAAGGTTCTGAGTTTGAATTAAGTGTTCTAGCCCCAGAGTAGGAGCAAACTTATGACATGGTCCTGCTCAGTGCTCGTCATTAAAGATATGGTTGCTACACCAAAGTGTGGTGAAGAAACCACATCAACTAAGTGCTCATGAAAGAAGCACACCAGTCTAGTCTGTGTGATCCAAGGAGGATGAGCAATAAAAATCAGAGCCAGAAGAGGGAATGGTATCAGCTTAAATTGTGAGCACCCAATTTGCAGAAGGCAACTAATGACAATGGAAACTTAAAACCCATCTTCGGGGTTCCTACATGGATTAAGCCTGATGAATCCCCTCTGACCATAATGGAGGGATGTGAATAGCCTTGCTTTCACACAGAGAATATCATAGACAGGATCATGGCAAATGTAATTAGGTTAAAATATGGTAACTGATCATTTGTTCTCCCTTCTGACCCATTTTAAGTATGTTTTAGTTTTTAATACTCCCTGCTTTTTCTCAATTAGATTTTTTTTCCTCTGGTTTATTTTGTTGTTGTTATTGTTTTTTTTATTTCTTATTTGTATGTTTTCCAGTATATGAAGACCAGGATCGGTAAACACTGTAGGATTGGTTCAGAGTTCTCCCCACACCCTCACTCCTCTTTTCCTCTCTTACTCAGGAACTCTGGTAGTGGTGTTGGATAAGCACTGGACTGCTAACCACAAGATCAGTTAAAACTCACCAGCTGCTCCTTGGGCTAAAGATGTGTAGTGTTGGAAACCCTGTATAAATGGTCACTATGAGTAGGAATAATAGCAGATTTGGTGTAGGTTTTCTCCCTTAAGAATCTAAAGCCAATTTTATTTCTTTAAATGCAGACTTTTAAAGAAATATATGTAATTTGGTTAACTACTTTTGAGGTGTAGTATTTGAATTTTATTTTTTTTCAAAACCATTTTATTGGGAGCTAATACAGATATCACATTCTTTAGTTCAGTCACATCAAGCAGTGTTGTATAATTGATCCCACAATCAGTTTCAAAACATTCTCTTCCTGAACTCTTTGATATCAGCTCTCTTTCCCCCCTCTCCCAACTGTACACCCCAGGAACCTTTATCATACTTGTCTCCATCAATCCTGGGTTTCATATACAGAAAAATATATAACAAAAATTCAAGAGGGCTACCCACAATGACAAAATACATCAGAGATAAAAACCCCAATATGAAAAAAAGAAGCTACAGAAAATGATGAAAACCTGGTCAGGCCCAACATGCATCAGAGGGAGGATCAAGTGACAAAGTTTTAACTATTCAAGTCATGTTTATCATTTTGATATCCTATAGTCACCTCTCCAGTACTCTCTGTGTAGTAACTAATTTATTCCAATCCCTCCATTAAAGATAGAGAGAAATCACCAGAGGCTTATTTCCTGTGTAGATCTCTCAAATGTATCTTGGTCTTCAACTGTTAGTATTTGAATTTTAAAGTTCTATCGATATGATGCTAACTTCAGACTAATGATTGTTAGATGCCATTGAATTGGCTCCAATCGTAGGGCCCTGTTGCATAGCTGAATGAAACACTGTCCGCTCCTACTCCATTTCATAATTGTTCTTACGTTGCAGCCACTATGTCCGTGTGTAAAGAGTCTTCCTCTATTGCACTGTCCCTCTGTCAAGCATTATGACCTTTTCAGAGCTCCTGATGATGTGTCCAAAGAATATGTAACCAAGTCTCACCATCCTTACCTCTAAGGAGCATTCTGGCAATACTTCTTCCAAGACAGATTTGGTGCTCTTTTGGCAGTCCATGGAATCTTTGATATTCCTGACCAGCACCCGAATTCAAATGCATTATTTCTTCCATCTTCAGTACCCACATTCACAGATATATAAAGCAATTAAAAATAGTAGCTGGAACCCATATTAGTCCTCAAAGTAACATCCTTGCTTTTCAACACTTTAAAGAGATCTTTTGTAGCAGATTTACCTAATGTAATGTGTCATTTGATCTCTTGACTGCTGCTTCTGTGTACTTTGATTGTATATCCAAGCTAGAAAATCCTTGACAAACTTCAATCATTTCTCCATTAATCATGGTGTTAACCATTGATCCAGTTGTGAGGATTTTGGTTTTCATTACATTGAATTGTAATCCATACTGAAAACTGCAATCCCTGATCTTCACCAGCAAGTACTTCAAGTCCTCCTCACTTTCAGTAAGCAAGGTTGTGTCATTTGCATATCATAGGTTCATAAGCCTTCCTCCAATTCAGATGCCACATTCTTCATATAATCCAATTTTTCTGATGATTGGCTCAGCATACAGATTGAACAAGTATGGTGAGAGAATACAACCCTGATGCACACCTTTCTTATTTTTAAACCATATCCCTTTTTCTGTTTCTACAACTGCCTCTTCAGTTGTATAGGTTCCACATGAGCATAATTAAGTGTTTTGGAATTCCTGTTCTTTTCAAAGCTATAGTTTGTAATAACCCAGACAATTGAATGCTTTTGCATACATAGTCAGTAAAACACAAACATCTTTCTGGCATTCGCTGCTTTTGAGCCAAGATCATTCTGGTACCAGCAATGATATCCCTTGTTTCAGGTCCTCTTAACCTCACGTGAAACTCTGGCGGCTCCCTGTCATTGTATTGCTACAACTGTTGGATGATCTTCAACCAAACTTTTACCTGATGTGATATCAGTGATACTGTTACATAATTTGAGCAGTCTGTTGAGTCACCTTTCTTTGGAATGTGTACAGATATGGATCTCTTCTAATCATTTGACCATGTAGCGGGCTTCCAAGTTTGCTGGCATAGACAAGTGAGTGCTTCCTCAGCTTGTTGAAATATTTTGGTTCTGTCAATTCCTGGAGCCTTGATTTTGGCTAATGCCTTCAGTGTAACTTGGACTTTTTCCTTCAGTGCCACTGCCTCTTGCTCATATGCTATCTTAAAATGGTTTAATGTAGACCAGTTCTTTTTGGTACAGTGACTTTATTCTTACCATCTTTTAAAAAAATGGTTATATTGGCATTGACATCACATATCATACAATTTAATTGTTCAGTCATATTAAGTAGAGTTGTGTAATCATTACCACAGTCAATTTGAAAACATTTTTTCTCATACTCGTTAGCTCCCCATTCCCCCTATCCTACCTGCCAAGTCCTGTGGTAGTTGTTAATACAGTTACTGTCCGTCTTGATTTACCTATCCTGGATTTCACATACAGAAAACCTTTAAAACAAACAAGAAGCAAAAAACCAACAACAATCACTAGACAAAACAGAATTTTTTTTTTCAAAGCAGAATCTTGTTAGACCTGCCTATGCTCATTTGTATAATTAAAATTATTGATGCATGAAAGCCAAGATAGATAACTTCAGAAATAGTAATGAGAGTAATGATTCCCTGGGTATGGGAAGGAGGGGGTTAGCTGATAGCAATGATGACTATACAACCCCACTCGAGGGGAATGAATAACAGAATTGTGGGGGAACGGATACATTGGATGGTGTAAGATACGGGTGTGTGTGTGTGTGTGTATCTATTTTATATATATATCCATCCCCCAAACCTGAATTTTTCTTTCAAAGCTATGTATTAAAATTTTTTTTAATCATTTTATTAGGGGCTCGTAAACGCTTATCACAATCCATACATACATCCATTGTGTC